TGGGAGAGGAAGAGGAAGCGCATGGCACAAAATAAAGAAGGAAAAAGAGGCGCTTTCAAAATTAAGAAAGAGAAGGCTTTGTGTCATGACTGATTGGCGTCGCAAAGCTAGAGGCGCAATAGAGGGACATTTAGAAAGAAGGAAAAAGAGGCACCGAGTCCATCTGCTCGACACAAGAAGCCCTATATTCGTCGCATCATGACAGGCGACTCTAACCCAACATGGGCTTCAACATTGAATCAGGCGCCTATACTAGTGGACTACTATAAAATTCTCATTTCACCGGAGGCACCTATAATTAAAAGAGCATTTCAAGTTAGGCTAACGTCTGGGCACCCATCTCCTATTTGGGCTCGACGCCTCCCTGTTTGGTTTAAAAGAGGCCTTAAGCGCCTAATTTCATTGAGGTGCCCATTTCATCTATGAGCCAGATGTCTTCTCCTATTTTTATCTTGAAATTTGGGAGCAAGTTTAAAGCCCAAAACAAAGAGGCTCGTTAAGCCCAGGTGCTCGGTTCGAAGCCCAAGAGAGGTTGACACGACTTATTAAAGCCCAGATGCTCATACCTTCTAAAGAAAAAGGGTGCCTACGCCATCAGGATAAGTTACAAGTTGTTGTCATCTATTAATATGCGTCATTATTTCACTTAGGAGCCTCGCAAGCGTTAGCATGGGCTTCGCCGCGGTTGGCATGAGCTTCAACACACTCAAACCAAGCTAAGTACTTTGTTTTTTCGTGAAATTTGGTGTTACCTCCACGATATATCGCTTTGTTTTGAAATGTTTGGTGCGCCCAAATAAAATCTTTTGTTCGAAATACATAAAGCGCCCGAAATATAGCGCCCTTGATTGGAAATACTCTCCACGCCTAAATCTAGCGTCCTAATATTTGAAAGATCTCTAAGGGAGATGTAAAGCACCCGTAATACACAAAGCGACCCGTAATACCTAAAGCGCCCGAAATACTCAAAGCGCCCGGAATATCAAAGTTGTCGAGATAGAATGTTACGTGGCACTCCAAGCCTCAAGTTTACACAATTGAAGGGAGGCATTTTATAGGCGTCTGTTTCGAGAGTAAGGATGTTGGGTCGTGTGTCTTGCAAAAGGAGGCGTCTGTCATGAGTTAGCAACGTATGCAAGGGTCAGGCGCCTGTCACAAATGTGACGATGAATGAGAGGAGGCATTTTGCAGGCGCCTGTTTCGAAAGTAAGGATGTGGGGCGTGTGCCTTGCAAAGGGAGGCGCCTGTCGTGAACGAGCAACGTATGCAACGATCAGGCGTCTGTCACGAATGTGACGATAAACGAGAGTGGGCATTTTGCAGGCGCCTCATTTGAAAGTAAGGATGGGCGCGTGCCTTGCAAAGGGAGGCGCTTGTCATAAACGAGCAACGTATGCAACGGTCAGGCGCCTGTCATGAATGTGACGATAAACGAGAGGGGGCATTTTGCAGGCGCCTGTTTTGAAAGTAAGGATGTGGGGCGTGTTCCTTGCAAATGGAGGATGTGGGGCGTGTTCCTTGCAAAGGGAGGCGCCTATCATGAGTTAGCAACGTATGCAACAGTCAGGCGCCTGTCACGAATGTGACGATAAATGAGAGGGGGCATTTTGCAGGCGCCTGTTTCGAAAGTAAGGATGTGGGGCGTGTGCCTTGCAAAGGGAGACGCATGTCGTGAACGAGCAACGTATGAAACGATCAGGCGCCTGTCACGAATGTGACGATAAACGAGAGGGGGCATTTTGCAGGCGCCTCATTTGAAAGTAAGGATGTGGGGCGCGTGCCTTGCAAAGGGAGGCACCTGTCATAAACGAGCAACGTATGCAACGGTCATGCGTCTGTCATGAATTTGACGATAAATGAGAGGGGGCATTTTGCAGGCGCCTGTTTCGAAAGTAAGGATGTGGGGCGTGTTCCTTGCAAAGGGAGGCGCCTGTCATGAGTTAGCAACGTATGCAACGGTCAGGCGCCTGTCATGTATGTGACGACAGACGAGAGGTGGCATTTTGCAGGCGCTTGTCTCAAAAAGAGGCCTATCCAGAATGAGTCAATAAATTTGAGGGGGGCATTGAGCGGGTCCCATATCGAGGAGACTTGTGTGAAAAAGTCAATCAGAGAAAAAAGAGACATGCGTACCACTGTTGAGGTAATTAGGCACTCAAGATACCAAGTGTTGAGCGCCTAACTGGGGGGCAATTGTTGGGGGGTATTATAAAGGAACAAGTCCAAGTAAAAGCTCAATGTAGCTCATTAGAGCAGCGGAAAGAAAACCCCATATTTGGGCCCAGAAAGGTGGGTAGGTCGAATTTGGGTAGCAAGGGGAGTACGCAATCCAGGCGCTTAGGTCCAGGAGGAAAATCAATAATTAACAGGCGCATGATTCAATAAGACCGAGGCGCCTGTAACAAGGAAAGGGGGGCATTTACTGCGTAAGGACGAGGCATCCCACTGAGTGAAGATGCGTGAAGCGCCTAAGTACGGAAAAGTTGCTCAAGAGAAAGCGCCCCACCTTGACAAAACCAGGCGCCTGTCACGAGACACAGTGGACGCCTTATTCTAGTGGTGAGACGAGACAGTATAGTCAGGCCCTCAAGCTTTGAGAACTTGAGAGCCTAACTGGGGGGGGGGGGGGGCAATTGTTTGGGGTTTACAAAGAGGGCCCATTTGGTCACACAAGCGGGCGCCCGAGCGCAGGACGAGCGTTGAATGATGACAAGGACTCGGGGGTCAGAAAGTTAAACATAGGCGGATAATTGAGCGCCCGCCAAGAATTAGTGGTGCATACTAAGCGTCCAGGCCAAGAGATCAGTTGGGCACTCAAGTAAGGGACTGTGAGCGCCTAACTGGGGGGCAATTGTTGGGGGTATTACTAAAGGGGCCCAAGAAGAGCCCTTCAGGTGAAGGTAGCCCAAGGCAATGGGCCAGGAGAAGAAGCCCAGAATTGTTGGGGCATTACTAAAGGGGCCCAAGAAGAGCCCATTCAGGTGAAGGTAGCCCAAGGCAATGGGCCAGGAGAAGAAGCCCGCAAAGCCCATTGCACTCCAGGCAGCATAGGCATGGAGACAAAGCACTAAGGGCCAAAGAGGTCTAGGCTGGCAAGTGGTCCCCCGCCTGTGGGCGCCAGCCAGCCGTCAGAAGCCTGACAAGGTGGTTGGGGCTTCTGACAGAAGTGAAGGTACAAAGCATTTAATGAGATGTTGACGTGGAGGAGATCCACCTCGAGCTCGATGAGTATAAATAGGGGTAGTTGGTAGCATTTACACAGGTTGGACTCTCTCACGAAAACTTATAGTTTCATACTTCTCTCTCTATAATGGGAACTAACTTGAGCGTCGGAGGATTAATGGGCCCAGGTGCCCCCCTTAGTGCGTGTGTGTAGGTCAGGCTTCAAGGATTGGCTAGCATGACCAAGGTGCACCAAGGAGCGGGCTTCAAGGTGAGGCGCCTACATAGCGTTAAGCAGGAATCGGGCGCTCAGAAGATCAGGATCCAAGGTGAGGAGCCTAAGGTGTGACCAGTAAGGCGGATGTGTTTGGGCACAAACAGTAAGAAAAGACAATCTACACTTTGAATTATCCGGATTTCGGGTCATGATACTATACCTAACCCTTGAGGAGTGAGAGTTTTCAATCCTTGCCCTAAACATCAAGATGATGCACATAATTTGTTGGATGTATTTCGATGAAACATGACTTTCGATTATTGTTTCTAATTAAACTGATCTTAGTATATGAGATTCATAGAATTAAGACCTAAATTTTAATATTAAGGGTTTAGGGTATAGTACCACATCCCAATCTCCAGACAATTCAAAGTTTAGATATCATTTTTCTTACTCAGAGTATATCATTCAAGGTATATATATCATTTTCTTACTCAAAGTATGATAGAACCACCCATATTTATAGTTGCATTTATCCTGTCGAAAAATCATTTGTTCTAAATGTTAGTTCGTTGGACTGCAATTTTATCAGGGTTGAATGTTGTTTGAAACATTTTGAACTTCATTAGTCAAATATTTTGAGTACTCCTATATTATTTAGGTATTATATCTTATTTTGGACTGAGCTTTTACGAAAATAACAACTTTGCCATGAACATGCAAATAAGATAGTTTTGTCTGAGTTTTGAAAGAAATGAACAAATTTGGGTTGACTGTTTATATTGACGGTCAAACATTTCTTTTGTATATGACTCAACATACAATGCTAAAGTGGCTGCGACGTAGCTTCCATCTCATAGGAATAATACGCTATTTTGGCTGAACATTAACGTCAAAAATAATTTTGACCTAAACTTTCAAATAAGACAAGTTTGTCCGAATTTTCAAAGAAATATATATATTTGGCACAAAATTTCGGTTGTCGTTAATATTGATGTGGATGGGTACAAAGAGAGTTTCAATTATGTGCATCGGGATTTTTGGGGGCCTTAATCAATTTATTTTTCAATTTGATTAATGCAAGTAAAAATGAAAATATTAGGATAAGTCAAGGGTCCTACTTTGTGGTCTTATTTTTTTCTTCTGAAAATTTTTCATATTTTTAATAATTTTTTTAGATGTTATAAATAAATAATGTGGTAGCCACATCGGAACCTAAACCTCTCTCTCCATACTGTCAATATTAAAGGTCAATCCAAGTTTTGGACGAAATTTGTCCACTTCTTTCAAAGTCAGAACAAACTTGTCTTATTTGAAAATTCGGGCCAATTTGTATTTTATGTCAACTTCATTGCAAAATATGGTATTATCCCTATGAAGTGGAAACCACGTCGCATTTGCAGCCACCTCAGCATTCTTTTATGAATCATGGGTGAAGATATGTTTGACTATTAGTATTAACGGTCAACCAAAATTTTAGTCCAAATTTGTCAATTTCTTTCAAAATTCTAAATATTGTCTTTTTTGCAAGTTCATGTCAAATTCATCTTTTACTTCAAACTTCTAAGACCAAAATAAGGTATTTTCTTCTTTGAACAATTGTATTTCTTTCTCCAATCCTATGTTTGATCTTATTATATTGTAAACATGTTATACGTACATAATTTTTTTCTAAACAATTCTCAGCAACTCCCAGCCTGAAACGAGTACCGACATGTCACAACACCAGACCACTAGTAACAATTCATTCTTATACACAGTTAGTTTCGCGGTACACAACCCTTGTACAACCCAGTGAACAAGTAAATAACACACAGCTCATGCCACAAATAACACCATAAAACCTTTGACGATACATTGCCGTGGGGTAGACATCTCACACCTAAGACTATTGTATATAGAGTGGTTGCAATTAATAGTATCATCTAACAGCTTGCTGCTCCCCTATTTACCACCCGTCACAGCATTCGTATCACTACTAGTAACTCTTAGATTACAAAGCAAGGCATCACGACCACTTAACACTATTTCAAAGAAGTTATCCACTTGTTTAGCAAGGAGGTCCAGGCCTTTCGATAGCTTTTCAGCTCCACCCTGCAGCTCAGTGAAGCAAATCTTCAAGGCTTCCTCCTCCACCCCAGGAGGTTGCTGCAACCTATCTCGAATCGCAGGATACAGAGTCTTCACAATAGAATCAACCGAATCCAGCTCTTTCAGGGCAGTAGATTTCTCAGATGGGAATAACTCTATGATTTCCCCACTCACTCTTGTTTGCAAATCTGAAAAAGGCCGAGCCAACAAGACTGTATCTGGGATAGCCAAATCCAAGAGATTCTTTGACGAGCTGGAAAAGGCAGAAGCAAATACACTGCACACAAATATCGTCACCGCCTTGACACCATAAATGGCATGTGTTGAAGCCTCTTCGATTTCCCTCCTCACGATCCGCCTTGCCCACATGGAACCTCCTACACACACACACACACAGAGGTGGGCCTCGTGGCCCGTTAATCCTCCAACGATCAAGTCAGCTTCTACTTTAGAGAGAGAAGTTATTTCCCGAAAAGTTTAGTGAGAGAAGCCAAATTGAGTAAATGCTTACCCACCACCCAATTTATAATTGTTCACTGTTCATCTTACCGTACGGACCTACACGTCACCACAATTCCCTTTGTCTTAGGCGCCTAATCCGGCCACTCCCCATGGTCGTGTACCAGGTGCCCATCAAACAGGCAACCCCTCATCCTTGATTCCTTAGGCGCCCCGGTTGGTGCGCCTTCTCGGTCACGACCGGATGGACTCCCAGCTTTGCTTGAGTGGTTCTCTATCAGCCCTTGGACCTCTTTGAACGGGCCAACCTTCTCTTTTGGGCTCTCTTTGCATGCCATACGCATCAGGCTTCTTAACGCGCCGCAAGTTCTTTTACCTCGAAATATCCCCAACAATTGCCCCCCAGTTAGTTGCTCAAGTTTAATACCTTGAGCGCCTAACTCAAAGCTTGGTACTCCTCCGACACCTTAACTTTATCTGGTCCCCTTCATCCCTTCCTATCGGGGCGCTTGTACCTTGCCCCCCATTCCCATGTAGCTACCACTTTTAGTTCTTATCTCGAAGGCGCATCCAGACCTCCATGTTTACCCCTTTCGTACCCGATCCCCTACTTCACACTCACACTACCTTAGATCACCTTCGCCGCCCTTGTCTCCTATAGGCGCCCATCCCTACCTGGCGCACTTCTTTTTCCCGTCATTCAAACCCTATGCGCCTCACATAGCCCCTCTGTTTTCCCTGCGGCGCTGCTCGTCCTTTTCCTGGACCCCCTTTTTTCTTTTAAATTTGCGGCTGCTCTCCGTCGAAGGCGCCTGTTTCCTTCTCTCCTCGGCATTCCCGGGCGCCTCTCGCTTACTCCCCCTCTCTACACCGAAGGCGCCCCCGACCTTCCCCCATCGCAACCCTCGCCATCTCTAGACGCCTCGCGTATTCTCCCCCTTTTTCTTCCATAAAAGCGCCTCCCCCCTTAACCCATCGCGAAACCTAGGCGTCTTCTTCCTTCCCTCGCAATTCCTAGGCGCCTTTCGCCTTCCCCCCTTCTCTGCCCCCCTCACAACCGCCAATTGTGATATTCAAATTGCGCGGTTGTGATTGGGCCACGTGGCCAATGGCGCGGATGTCGAGGCGCTGTTCCTTCCTTTAAATTGAGTCGATTCACCCAACCTTCGCCCCATTCTCCCAAAATTCCCTTCTCACTCTAACTTCTCTCCTTGCCTACTCACCCTCTTTGCCTTTCAAATATGTCGATTCCCAATGATGATGCCACCGCCGCCGCCGCCACTGCAGCCGCCGCTAGAGCTGCGCCAGATCAAGGCGCCCCCTCTAAAGCTGGTAAGAAACCTCTTTCTCTGCCCTTTTTTTTTTAAATGTTATGTTGTCAATGGAGGCGCCGCTCACTTTCCGCCGGTTGTGTGCGCTTGGTTGGATTGGCTTAGCGGGGGCGTCTACACTGTCTCCTATACCGGCGTCATCATCTAACTACTACGTGCCGGAAGACGGGTCTTTCAAAATGACCACATGGGAAAATACTTGGCCTCCCGGATACGCGCCCTGTGAGACTACCTGCTTGCCGACAAACGTGGCAGGGCCTGAGCGCAACTCTACCATATCGCCATCTTGGATGACCAGTTTGATCACGGATCTTGGACTCCCCCGAACCTGGACGTATGCGCCCCCATCGCCCATTGCTAGGGTAGGATTGTGCGGTCCCCGATGGTTAGGCATATACCAAGAGTACTTCCGATTTGGGCTTCGATTTCCTCTAGACCCCATCTTGGAGGGGATTTTGGAGTACTGTGAGTGTACTATTGGGCGCCTATCTCCCTCGGTTATATTGATCATCACGCTTTTCAAGCTGAAGTGCCGAATTCATAATGTGCGCCCTACCTTCAACCTCTTTCGCCACTTTTTCACCGTGACGCCTCGAGACAATTGCCTATCCTTGGTGCGCCGCAAAAAAGTACGCGCCCACTTCGTGACGCGGTGCCCGAAGCTATGGAGGACTTGGTTTACAGGCTTCTTTTTTGTGAAGGCGCACAGAGACTTTTTCTTTGCTAGTGGAGACGCCTTTAGAACAGATTGGGAGCTAGGTGAAGACAAACGCTTTAATGCCGCCGTTACACTTAGTCAAGAGGAACGAGATGGTGTCGCGCTAATTAGCGGCTCACCTGTAGATTTGCGCCCCACCAGAGCTCGGGCGCCTATTCTTAATGAATATTATGGAGATGGTGTGTTTTATGCCAATTACTTTGTTGTTTTTGCAGGCGCCTTGTATAATAGAGTGCGTTTTGTTTGTGCAGGTGCTAACTTCTCACGGATTGCCACCTTGATGAAAAGCCGCTACGAGAAGATGGCCCATCAGGCGCCTCGCCAGGCCGCTCCTAACCGTAGCCCGGCGTCTCCCGCCTCAGTCTCCACCAAGCAATTGCCCGTTAACCAGACGGAAAAGGAGAAAGGCAAGGCGCCTAGTGGGAAGCCCGCCAAGACTTCAAGCGTGGCGTCCACGCCATCAGGCGCGGATGCGCCTGAGGATCCGCCCTTGGTCGTAACAGTGGACGAGCAAGAGGAAGAAGACAACGTGCCCCTGGTTGCTCGAGGGAAAAGAGCAGGCGCCCGCCTTCTTTGTCACGGGAAGAAGCCCCGAACAACCGGTGAGGAGGCGCCGGATGTTTTAGTAGGATAAGGCGCACCCCGACAAGGCTCGTCCCAACCCGTAGTTACGGCATTGTCGACGGGCGCCTTGTCGGCCCGGACGGGAAACCGCCCATGCTTCAACCTTTGCGCACCGAAATGGGACGCATTGCATTGGCTTGTTCTCCACGAGCGGCGGTGGACCGCGGCTGTGCAATGGGCCTAGCCCTCTCGGCGTCTCAAGCATTGCAGGTGCCCTCTGAGATCACGGAGGATCATCCTTGGTCTGAAGTTGCCCGAATGGGAGTCAAGGTACGTGTTTGTGCGCCTCCATTTTCCTTCATTTTCCTTGTTTTGCAAATGTGTTCGTACTCTTTTTATGTATTTCCATGCGCACTCATTTCGTTGCAGATGCTCCTTCTTGCCGAAGCAGGCGCCCGCAAGGCGGACGCAGCCCTCGAGGAGTGTCGTGAAGCCCGGACATCTGTGTCCTCCATGAAGGACAACCTGGAGACTGTTACCGCACGCCGAGAGCAGCTCGTCAAAGAGTGCGAGGAGGCACAGCTAGAGGCGGCGAAGCAAATCTCCACGCTTCAAAATACCTTAGAGGAGGAGCGCCGTCAACGGGACGCCGATTTTGCTTCACGCATGGCCGCGGAGCGCCTGGAGTTTGAGCGGAAGTTGGCCGTCTTGGAGGCGGAGAAGGAGGCGCTGACACAAGATCTGGGCGCCCGAGACAAGGAGTTGGTGGCTTTAAGGGAGGAGAAGACCTCCCTTCAGGACGAGCTGAAGGCGGCCGCCTACCGCCGCAAAGACTACAAAAAGGAGGTGAAGGGCGCCCGCAAGGAGATTAATGCACTGGAGGCGTCGCTCAAGAACTTTGCCCATTCGGACAAGGGTCAGGATCTAGTTGCCAAGGCGTCCCTGGATTGCTTGGTGCTAGCCAAGAGGAAACTTGATCAAGAATACTCCGACATCACTGTGGACTTCCCAGACTTGGTGAATTTTGTGATCCAAGAGATGCAAAATTACCAGGAAGAGGCGGCTGAGGAGGATGAGGTGGCGCACGCTGGGAGTGGGGATGCGCCTTCTCCCCAAGGAAGTGAGTCCTCTTCGATGGACGACACGTCCTCGGATGCAGAGTAGTGGCAGGCGCCTTGTAGCATAGATTCTTTCTACCTTCTCGTACGCATAAAGACTGTTTGCTTGCTTTTTTTTTTTTTGAATGCGCCAATAACGCAAGTCACCTTCTCTTGCTTTTCAAGTATTCTATCCTTGGGACGCAATATTTTCGATCAGGCAACCATTTCTTTACAGACGCCTATAGTACTCTGTTTCGCTCTATTATAATATTTCATCTTTTGGTTGTGCGCGTAATTTGTGGGCGCTTTTTGATAACGTTTTGGGCGCAAGGAAGGGCGCACTTATCATATTTGGGCGCAATTTTACGGGCGCTTTTGTTTGAAATCGGCGCGAATAAGGGCGCGTTTTTTGGGCGCGATTCTTTGGGCGCTTTTAATCGAAACGGTCGCGAATGAGGGCGCATTTTGTGTGATGGGCGCAAATTGTTGGGTGCTTTTATGACCGTATCTCTACGCACTTTTTTTGAGCAGAGGGGCGCTTTGTGGAGGGCGCTTTCATTGAAGAAAAAACACTGAACACACTTATAACGAAACACAGGCGCCGCACATTAAAGGCGCTTTGATTGGACGCACAGTCTACTTGTAACATACTCCTATAGGCACTTCCCCTTGATCACCCGTCACTTAGCCACTTTGTCCCTCTGACGAGGCGTGATACACCCGTAGGTTCTGTGCATTCCATGTTCGCTTAACTGGCTTGCCATCCAGATGCGCTAGTTTGAACGTAGCCACCCCAATGATTTCCACTACCCGATATGGTCCTTTCCACTTAGGAGCCAATTTTCCCTCTTGGGCGCATGGCCGAAAATCTCTCTTGAGAACCAATGCTCCCTCGGTAATGCCATGTTGGAGCATCTTCCTATTGTAGTACCGAGCCACCTGCCTTTTCATTTCCTCCAGCCTTACCGATGCCACTTCTCGGCGTTCGTCGGAGAGGTCCAAATCAGCCACCCTGTCCTCCTCATTCTGTCCTGGGTTGTAATGTGACACCCGATAGCTGGGAATTCGGAGCTCAACGGGAATGACCGCTTCACTGCCATAGGTTAAGGCGAAGGGTGTCTCACCCGTGGCAACCTTATATGTCGTTCGATGCGCCCAAAGCACGCTCGGCAACTCTTCCACCCAACGCCCCTTGGAGCCTTGTGTGTAAGCCATGAAGGATGCACTTGTTGGCCGCCTCAGCTTGCCCATTAGCCTGTGGGTATGTTACGGAGGAGAACCTCAACACCACCCCGTGCTCATCACAAAATTCCACGAACGTCTTGCAATCGAATTGTTTACCATGATCAGTGACGATAGACTCTGGCAACCCGAACCGAGTGAATATGTTCTTCCTTGTGAACTTGCGCACCTGGGCCTCTGTGATGGTTGCCAAGGGTTCGGCTTCAATCCACTTGGAGAAGTAGTCAATGGCCACTATCAAATACTTCATTTGCCCGGGCGCCTTCGGGAAAGGACCTAAGAGGTCCATACCCCATTGTGCAAAAGGCCAAGCGCCCGTGTTGCCCTGCATTGGTGCCGCCGGGATATGTATGTCATTAGCATGGATTTGGCACTGATGACAGGCGCCCGCGTGGGCCTTGGCGTCCTTGCGCATTGTAGGCCAATAATACCCCTGACGAAGCATTGTTTTCTCCAAACTCCGGGCGCCGGCATGCATTCCGCAAGTGCCACTGTGGACCTCTTCTAGTGCTGTCTGGCCTTCTTCACTACTTAAGCACCTCAAGTAGGCGCCCGAATGTGATCGCTTATACAGGTGCCCCCCAACTATGGAGCATCGAGCCGCCTTTCGCCTTAGTCGCCATGCTTCTTTCGCGTCTTCTGGGACGACGCCGTAGTCAAGTATGCCCAAAGAGGCGTCATCCAGTTATCGCCACCCGTGGGACCACTCACAGTTGCCACCATGTATTCTTGTGGTACCTCCTTTGTAACGATAACCTTTCTTTCCTCAGCGAAGTCCAAAGCCATGGCCAATTTCGATAATGCATCTGCATGGGCATTTTCCTCCCGTGGAACATGCGCAAACTCCACTTCCCTGAACCAGGCGCCCTCTCTTCGAACTGCCTGGATGTAGGCTTCAAGGGCTTCCTCCTTCACCTCAAACGCCCCATTGAGCTGGTTTACCACAAGGGCCGAATCTGACTTGACACGTACACATTGGGCGCCTAGTTCCCGGGCCATACAAAGCCCCGCAACTACTGCTGCGTACTCGGCGGCATTGTTGATTTTGAGCTCCTCAAACCTTAAAGCGATCTCATGCATAACTCCCATGGGGCTGATAATTACTATTCCCGCTCCTGCGCCGGCTCGACTTGCCGCTCCATCGACTTGGATCTGCCAAATCTCCTCCTCGGCCTTGCAAGCTTCTCCTATCCCTTCTGCCACAAAATCGGCAAGCACTTGGGCCTTGATTGCAGGTCGGGGCGCGTACTTGATGTCGAATTCACTCAATTGCACGGCCCATTTGACGAGACGCCCAGCCACATCCATGGAGCCCAAGGGGGCCTTGAGCGGTAGGTTGGTGAGTACGACAACGGCATGAGCCTGAAAATATGGGCGCAATTTGGTTGCAGCAGTAACCACAGCAAGGGCGGCTTTCTCGATAGGCGCATACCGATTCTCATGAGGTCCCATTGTTTTGCTAATGTAGTAGACTGGCCTTTCCTCCCCTGTAGCCTCCTCTCTTGATACCAACACCGCGCTTACCGCCATTTCAGAAACCGCAATGTACAAGTATAACACTTCGCCTGCTGTGGGCGCCGTCATTACTGTAGGTGCCGCCAAAAGGCGCTTCAACTCCTCGAACGCTTCGCTGCACGCCTCATCCCACTTGAAACGTACAGCCTTCTTGAGCACCCTAAAGAACGAGGCTGCCTTGTCAGCCAATCTTGGTATAAAGCGCCCCAACGCAGCGAGTCTTCCGGCCAAACCTTGCACTTCTTTAGGCGTCCTTGGGGGTGTTAGCTTGATTATAGCATCCACTTGCTTGGGATTTGATGAGGTCATCAAAGCCAAACACACTCAAGTTGAAGGGCCCATGACTCGAGCGAGGGCTAAGGCTTTTCGGGATCAAATTGCAAGCTTTTTGGCTAAGGAGTTGGAGGGCTTAAGCTTGGATTTGCTAGGAGAAAAGTCCATTACAATATTGAGCTATGTGTATCACGAAATTGGGCTCAAAGGGAGGGAAAGAGGGTCGGCCATGGAGAAGGAGTCTCAAGGTGTGAATGGAATCAACAATGGATAAAGAGCATGGTGTGAACACAAGGTGTGAAAGGAATTTCAAGTGTGAACACAAGGGGGGGGGGGGGGGGGGGGGGGGGGGGGCGGATTTGAAGGCTAGATTCAAGGGTAGTTGTTGACTTAGTCTTTTCCTTGTTTGTTAAGGTTTTTGTTTTCCTTGTTTGTTAAGGTTTTTGTTTTCCTTTTTCAAGTAGGATTTTGTTTTCCTTAGTTGTTTTGTGTTTAGATTCGTGGGTCTATAAATAGGAGTCCAACCAATGTATTTTTCATTCAAGTTTCAGCAATCAAATACAAGTGTTTACAAGTTCAAGTGGACGTTTTGCTTATTCGCTCCTTTGAGGATTCGGGAGGTTTGAGTGGTCTCTTATCAACTAGAGAACGCGTCTAGTTGTGGCGAGCATCGACGATATCGATTGGCCTCTTCCATGGGTTCGAGATTGTTTGGAAGGTTTCATATACCTTCTGGCCCTTCTCACGAGTTCGGATTTGTTTGATCGATTCCGCAAGTATCTGTATTTTCGAGTTCAAGAAAGGCGGCATCAAGAAAATCAAGAAAGTCAAGAAAATCAAGAAAATCAAAGAATCAAGAAATTCAAGAAAAGATCGTTTTCAAGAAAATCAAGAAAAGATCGTTGGAGCTGCGTACTTTGGTCTTATAATCCGAGTTCGAGGGTTATCTTCGGATTTGGATCATATCAAGTGGTATCAAGAGCCCGGTTCAAACGCAGCGGAGAAGACAAAGATTCTTGGTAGTTCGGGAAGCATTCTTGGAAATCTTGAACGTCAAGAAAGCAAATCTTGAACGCTCTTGAGAGTTTCTTGTGTGGCAAGGAAGGTATCTTGAAGACAAAGCATTCGTGGGGTTCTTCTTTAGCAAGAAACCATGGCAGAACAAGCACAAGATGTGGCGACACAACTTCAGCAACTCGCTGCACAACTAGCTACGGTACTTCAAGAACAAAGGGAGACAAGGGCACAAGTCGAGGCATTGCAAAGACGTGATCAAGAGCTGCCTCAACAACAAGAACAAGAGCCACCCCAAGGCGAGTTTGCAAACCCTAACAATAGGGAACGACGAGAAGAAAGGAGAGTTATTCGAGCTGTTCAACGTCCAATGTTTGAGAATGTTCGTCGACATAGGCCATTGGGAGGGCATCGTGGTGCAAGGAGAGACTTCCCCTTCTATGACGAGGAAGGGTATGAAGAATACGAGTATGATGGAGGTGCTTACCGAGATGATGATGATCTAAGAGGATTGAAGATAACCGTACCATCTTTCAAAGGGACAATTGATCCAGAAGCTTATCTCGATTGGGAACGCAAGATGGAGCTGATTTTTGATAATCAAAACTACTCAGAGAAGAGGAAGGTGGCGATGGCTACCATTGAGTTTACGGATTATGCCCTAGCGTGGTGGGATCAATTGAGCACGAAGAGAAGAAGAGATAGGCGCAGGCCTATTGAAACATGGGATGAGTTGAAGGCAATCATGAGAGATCGATTTGTTCCAGCCTATCATCAACGGGAAATGCACCAAGCATTACAACTTCTTCGACAAGGCAACAAGAGTGTTGAGGATTACTATCGAGAGATGGAGTTGTTAATGATTCGAGCTGATGTTCGTGAAGATAGGGAAGCTACCATAGCTCGATTTCTACATGGTCTTAATCGAGAGATTCGTAATGTCGTGGAAATTCAACAATTTGTGGAGGTAGAAGACTTGGTGGCTATTTGCAGCAAGGTGGAAAGGCAACAGAAGAATAGGAGGTTCCTACCCTCTACAAGTACTACAAGGCCTACACCAACACCTACAACTAACCCTAGGCCGAGTGTTCCTACAAGAGAAGCACCAAAACTCGGGCCAAAGGTGGAGACTCCAAACCCTAGCACCAAACAGGGTTCATCTTCCGGTGGAATTCAATGTTTCAAGTGCCATGGACGAGGGCATATGGCAAACCAATGCCCAAACAAAAGAGCATTGATCTTATTGGAGAATGGTGAATATGTATCCGATGGAGAGGAAGAGGAAGCACTAGAAGAGAAGGGTACATCAGATTCTGAGGTAGATGAGGCCCTTGAGATGGAGACACCCCCAGGCAGATTATGTGTAGCTCGAAGGGTATTGAGCATCCAACCAAAGGAGGAGCTTGAGCAACGGGAGAACCTCTTCCATACGAGGTGTGTAGTGGATGGGAAGACCCTTTCGGTAGTGATTGATGGAGGGAGCTGCACCAATGTGGTTAGTGCTAGTTGTGTGAAGAAGTTGGGGTTGAAAACAATGATTCATCCAAAACCCTACACTCTTCAATGGCTCAATGAAGATGGGTCAATCAAAGTGGCTAAACAAGCCTTATTGAAGTTCTCCATTGACAAATACAAGGATGAGGTAACGTGTGATGTGGTGCCAATGCAAGCGGCTCATGTTCTCTTTGGGAGGCCGTGGCAGTTTGATCGAAGTGCTCAACATGACGGCGTCACCAACAAATACACGTTAAAGCACCAAGGTAAGAAGATAGTATTGAAGCCTCTATCTCCTAGAGAAGTGTATGAAGATCAATTACAAATGCAACAAATTCGAGAGGAAGAGAAGAAGGCTCAATCCGCAAGGGGTGCAAAGAAGGGTTCGAGTAGCTTTGAGTCCAAGGCATTGATGCTAGCTCGACAAGGAGACATGAAGCAAGCCCTCTATGATCGAGTTCCTATGATTATTGTCCTATACAAGGGATTGCTACTCAACCAAGAGCTGATTCAAGAGGTACCACCTAAGGCACGAGTGGTACTAGAAGAGTTTGAGGATGTCTTTCCCGAAGAAGCACCAAAGGGATTACCTCCAATCCGCGGGATAGAGCATCAAATTGACTTCGTTCCTGGGGCTACCATTCCAAACAAGGCAGCCTATAGGACGAATCCAGAGGAGACAAAGGAGTTACAAAGGCAAATTGATGAGCTTATGGAGAAAGGACATGTTCGTGAGAACATGAGTCCTTGTGCAGTTGCTGTCATCCTCGTGATACATGGAGGATGTGTGTTGATTGCCGAGCAGTCAACCAAATAACCGTTAAGTATCGTCATCCTATTCCTCGATTAGATGACATGCTTGATGAATTACATGGGTCTAATATGTTCTCGAAGATTGATCTAAGGTCTGGTTATCACCAAATTCGCATGAAGGAAGAAGACGAGTGGAAGACAGCATTCAAAACAAAGCATGGTCTCTATGAATGGATGGTGATGCCATTCGGGTTAACAAATGCTCCAAGTACGTTTATGAGGCTGATGAATCATGTGTTGAGAGCATTCACTGGAAAATTCGTGGTGGTCTACTTTGATGACATTCTGATCTACTCAAAGAGCATGGAAGAGCACCTTGAGCACTTGAGGGACGTGTTGAAGACTTTGCAGAAGGAGCAACTCTATGCCAACCTCAAGAAGTGTTCATTTTGCACCTCAAGCGTGGTGTTTCTGGGTTTTTTCGTGAGTGCTAATGGAGTTGAAGTCGATAAAGAGAAAGCAAAAGCGATTCAATCATGGCCTACTCCTACCAACATGAGTGAAGTAAGAAGCTTTCATGGATTAGCTGGATTTTATCGACGATTTGTGCCCAACTTCAGCACCATTGCGGCACCATTGACCTCAATTATCAAGAAGAATGTGGCATTTTATTGGGGAGAAGAGCAAGAGAAGGCATTCGAGCTCCTCAAGTACAAGCTTACTCATGCTCCTGTTCTGATGCTACCAGATTTTAACAAGACGTTTGAAGTGGAGTGTGATGCCTTAGGATTGGGAATTGGCGCTGTATTGATGCAAGAGAAGAGGCCCATTGCATATTTCAGCGAGAAGTTCAGCGGAGCTACGCTTAATTACCCGACTTATGATAAAGAGCTTTATGCGCTTGTTCGAGCTTTGGAGACTTGGCAACACTACTTGTGGCCAAAGGAATTCGTCATACATACTGATCATGAGTCTCTCAAGTATTTGAAGGCCCAACACAAGTTGAACAAGAGGCATGCTCGTTGGGTGGAGTTCATTGAATCATTCCCTTATGTGATCAAGTACAAGCAAGGCAAGGAGAACATAGTTGCTGATGCATTATCGCGAAGATACACGTTGATCACTACCATGGATGCAAGATACCTTGGATTCGAGCAAATCAAGAGCATCTATGAGGAGGATTCTGATTTTCGAGAGATTTACAAGCTTTGTGAGAAGCATGGAGAAGGGAAGTACTATCGACATGAGGGCAACTTGTTTCGTGGTAATCAACTTTGCATACCACGTACTTCACTTCGAGAATTGATACTACGAGAAGCTCATGGAGGAGGATTGATGGCACACTTTGGTGTAGCCAAGACTTTGAGTTGCTTACAAGAGCATTTCTATTGGCCACATATGAAAAGAGATGTGGAGAGCTCATGTGCTAGATGTGTAGAGTGCAAGCAAGCTAAATCGAAGGTGCAATCGTCTGGATTGTACACTCCACTACCCATTCCCTCGTTACCGTGGGTTGATATATCTATGGACTTCGTATTGGGGCTGCCAAGGACAAAGAGAGGTCGAGATTCTATCTTTGTGGTGGTGGATCGATTCTCAAAGATGGCACATTTCATTCCATGCCATAAAACTGACGATGCGGTTAATGTGGCGGATCTGTTCTTCAAAGAGGTGGTGCGACTACATGGGATGCCACGCACCATTGTTTCTGATCGAGATGCTAAGTTCTTGAGCTATTTTTGGAAGACGTTGTGGAGCAAGCTTGGAACGAAGCTCTTGTTTTCGACTACTTGTCACCCACAAACGGATGGGCAAACTGAAGTGGTGAATCGTACTCTATCTCAAATGCTTAGAGCCATCATCAAGAGCAACATCAAGACATGGGAGGTATGCCTACCTCACGTGGAGTTCGCTTACAATAGAGCCGTGCATTTGACAACAAATATTCTCCATTCGAGATTGTGTATGGGTTCAATCCTCTTACCCCATTGGATTTGACACCTTTACCTTTGAAGGAGCAAGTAAACATGGATGGAGCTAAGAAAGCGGAGTATGTGAAGAATCTCCATGAGAAGGCTCGGCTAAATATTGAAAGAAGGACGGAGCAGATCTTGAAGAACGTCAACAAGCATAGAAAGGCTCGAAATTTTGAAGTAGGAGATTGGGTGTGGGTGCATATGAGGAAGGAAAGGTTCCCACATCAAAGGAGATCCAAGTTGCTGCCCAGAAGTGAAGGTCCCTTTCAAATCATTTCGAAGGTTGGAACGAATGCGTACAAGCTTGATCTACCAGGAGAATACGGCATAAGTGCAACCTTCAACGTTTCTGATCTTGCACCATTTCTGGATGATAATTCGGATTTGAGGCCAAATCCTTTTCAAGAGGGAGGGACTGATGAGGTCATCAAAGCCAAACACACTCAAGTTGAAGGGCCCATGACTCGAGCGAGGGCTAAGGATTTTCGGGATCAAATTGCAAGCTTTTTGGCTAAGGAGTTGGAGGGCTTAAGCTTGGATTTGCTAGAAGAAAAGTCCATTACACTATTGAGCTATGTGGATCACGAAATTGGGCTCAAATGGAGGGAAGGAGGGTCGGCCATGGAGAAGGAGTCTCAAGGTGTGAATGGAATCAACAACGAATAAAGAGCATGGTGTGAACACAAGGTGTGAAAGGAATTTCAAGTGTGAACACAAGGGGGGGGGGGGGGGGCGGATTTGAAGGCTAGATTCAAGGGTAGTTGTTGACTTAGTATTTTCCTTGTTTGTTAAGGTTTTTGTTTTCCTTGTTTGTTAAGATTTTTGTTTTCCTTTTTCAAGTAGGATTTGGTTTTCCTTAGTTGTTTTGTGTTTAGATTCGTGGGTCTATAAATAGGAGTCCAACCAATGTATTTTTCATTCAAGTTTCAGCAATCAAATACAAGTGTTTACAAGTTCAAGTGAACGTTTTGCTTATTCGCTCCTTTGAGGATTCAGGAGGTTTGATTGGTCTCTTATCAACTAGAGAACGCGTCTAGTTGTGGCGAGCATCGACGATATCGATTGGCCTCTTCCACGGGTTCGAGATTGTTTGGAAGGTTTCATATACCTTCTGGCCCTTCTCACGAGTTCGGATTTGTTTGATCGATTCCGCAAGTATCTGTATTTTCGAGTTCAAGAAAGGCGGCATCAAGAAAATCAAGAAAGTCAAGAAAATCAAGAAAATCAAAGAATCAAGAAATTCAAGAAAATATCGTTTTCTAGAAAATCAAGAAAAGATCGTTGGAGCTGCGTACTTTGGTCTTATAATCCGAGTTCGAGGGTTATCTTCGGATTTGGATCATATCAGGATTGGCCTCAATTCCTCTCTTGGTAATCATGAAGCCTAGAAACTTACCTGTCTCCGCTCCTAAGACGCACTTGAGAGGGTCGAGCCTAAGATTGTGCAGGCGCATGGTTTCAAACGTTTCTCTCAAATCTCGTAGGTGATCCTCCTGCTGACGACTTTTGATTATCAGGTCATCCACATACGCTTCCACATTCCGCCCGATCTGCCTTTGAAAGACTGTATTCACCATACGCTGATAAGTGGCGCCCGCATTCTTTAATCCGAATGCCATGACCCTATAGCAAAAATTTCCGAAGGGCGTCATGAACGCGGTCTTCAACCTGTCTTCCTCCGCCATGGGGATTTGATGGTACCATGAGAACATATCCAGAAAGCTGAGCATCTCATGATAAGCCGTGGCATCCACCAGTAGGTCGATTCAAGGCATTGGGTACGCATCCGTTGGGCACGCCTTATTGAGACTCGTAAAATCCACGCACATCCTCCAGTCTCCCGCTGGTTTCGGAACGAATACCACATTGGATAGCCATGTCACATAAGCTGCCTCCTCAACAAACCCAGCATCAAGGAGTTTGTCCACCTCCACCCTAAGCATCGCCTCCTTCTCTTGAGACAGGTTCCTCCTTTTTTGTTGAACAGGCTTCCTACCCGCCTCCACCGCCAGCCTATGGACCGCTGTTTCAGGCGTCACCCCTGGCATTTCCTTAGCACTCCATGCGAACAGCTCCGCAAACTCCCTCAACAGAGCGATCAACCCTTCGATCATTTCCGGAGGCGCCTGCACCGACATTCTTACTTGTCTCTCCAGCCGACCCTCATCCAAAGGAACCATCAGTTCCTCATCAGCCGCCTCAGCCCTGGGCGCCTCCTCCGTTGCAATCATGTTCACCCTTTGACTCTTCCGGGGCCGCGCACCTTTCAGCTGAGCGTAGACCGGGGCGCCTCTACCCCGAGCTATGCCTACTCCCTGCGGTGCTATAAACTTCAACGTCTGATGGCAAGTAGATGCAACGCCATTGAACAGAGCTAAAAGGGGTCTTCCAAGTATGGCGTTGTAAGGGGAAGGGCAATCCACAATTCCAAAGTCAATAGCATGCGTGACCCGCTGCTCTTCGTCGCCCAAAGTAACGGGAAGGGGCATGCGCCCAATCACCTTAGCAGGTGCCCCCGAAAATCCCACTAGTACCGAGTCCGACGGTCGTATCAGGTCTGGAGACAACAGCACGTCCATGGAACTCCCGGTGTCCACAAGCATCCTCTTCACAGTGCACCCAGCTACAACCCCTTGGATCTCGAGCGCCTCCAAAGAAGGTATCCCATAGGCTTCCTCGGGGGCCTGGTTGAAACTAATGTACACCCCTTGTTGGCCAACCGACGCCGCTCTCAGGCGCCTTCCAGCCTCCAACTTGACCCTCAGATCCATTACACCAGTGATCGCTTCCACCGTAAGCCTCACCTTTTCAGGTGCCTTCTCCTGGTCAAGTTCAAACGGAGGCGGGGGCAGATCTTCCTTAGGTGCTGCTCGGGCGGTGTATGCTCTATGAACCTTCTCTTCCGGTTTTTTGACAAACTCATTGAACCTGCCTCTGTCAACCAACCCTTGCAACTCGGTTTTCAGCTGATACCAATCTACCGTGTTATGCCCGCGCTCCCGATGGAAATCATAATATCGATCCAAATTCTGAGGATTGGGTTGCCCTCTCATAGGCCCGGGCCACCTCACATGATACCCCTTGTCCTTCACATACTGTAGCACATTTTTTGGTGAGTCATTAAGCTCCGTGAACGGATTCGCCCTAGGCGTTGGGCGCCCTTGATCATTCTTTCTTGCTGAGCCGAAGGGCGCCCCCACGTAGGTTGACCTGGGATTAGGCGCCTGCCTTCGCACCCCTTCTCCTTCCTCTCCTCTGGAGCGGCGCCTATCCGCTCTTCTCGCCGCTAACGTCTCCTCCAACACTATGACCTTTTGCACCCTACGATCTAGGTCCTCCGTGGATACCACATCTTTTTTGGACAGCGCCCGACAAAGCTCTTCACTTGTGGTGCATTCTTCCAAGATAACTCCGAGCACTGACGGGTGCACGTCCTTCACCGCCATGGCCACTGGGATCCAGCGCTCGTAGAACTCTCTCAAGGTTTCCCCCTCCTTCTGTTTTATTTTGAACAAGGCGCCTACGGTCAATGTACGACGCTTTCTGCTCGCAAATTTCGCCAAAAACATGGCAGCGAATTGCTCAAAACCTTCTATACGCCCTTCTTCAATCTGATGGTACCAATCTAGAACCACACCCGCGAAGGTGGAAGGGAACACCTTGCACAAGGTCGCGTCCGTACTGTTATACAACTGCATTTTGGTGAAGTAATTATTCAAATGGTCATCCGGGTCCGCTGTCCCATCATATGTTGGAAGCGGTGGAATGTTGGTATTTGCGGGCTCGACGAGGATGCTCCTAGCCAATGGCTGCCTTACCACGAACTGGCGCGGGGGGCGCCCCTGCATCCATACATTCCTTTCTCCCTCTGAGTCACCATAGTCGGCCAGGCGCCTCATACTTGCTAGGCGTCTTAGCGAACTGGACTCTCCCTCAGCTTCTGATGCCCTCTCTCTCTTCCTTGCCATTGGGCTAGGCGCTCCTTCTTTCAGCATCTCCACCTCCCTCCTGAGCATCCCGATGGCCTCATCTTGATTAGCTATAATTTTAACCAGGTCCTTCTTAGTGATGGAGGCGTCTTCAGAACTCGGATGCCGATCTTGACTTCCCTCGTCCTCGTTCCTGCTGGGCGTCCGCTCGTTCATCTCTTGGGACGCCTCTGCCATGACTTGCTCCTCAACTTCACTTCCGCCACCTTCCATCGTCCCTCAGGCGCTTTTCTTGCCCGTGCTCTGTCCTTCCCCACAGACGGCGCCAATTGTTGAAGCCTCTTCGATTTCCCTCCTCACGATCCGCCTTGCCCACGTGGAACCTCCTACACACACACACAGAGGTGGGCCTCGTGGCCCGTTAATCCTCCAACGATCAAGTCAGCTTCTACTTTAGAGAGAGAAGTTATTTCCCAAAAAGTTTAGTGAGAGAAGCCAAATTGAGTAAATTCTTACCCACCACCCAATTTATAATTGTTCACTGTTCATCTTACCGTACGGACCTCCACGTCACCACAATTCCCTTTGTCTTAGGCGCCTAATCCGGCCACTCCCCATGGTCGTGTACCAGGCGCCCATCAAACAGGCAACCCCTCATCCTTGATTCCTTAGGCGCCCCGGTTGGTGCGCCTTCTCGGTCACGACTGGATGGACTCCCAGCTTTGCTTGAGTGGTTCTCTATCAGCCCTTGGACCTCTTTGAACGGGTCCACCTTCTCTTTTGGGCTCTCTTTGCATGCCATTCGCATCAGGCTTCTTAACGCGCCGCAAGTTCTTTTACCTCGAAATATCCTCAACAGCATGCATCAGGACCTTCCCCTTGGAGGAATTCTTAACCTTGGGAAGATTCAATGTCTCGACAAGACTTTCTAAGATGGACCTGCAGCTCTGAACCCTAGGGTTCTTTGAATAAATATGATGTCTCCAGTTATCAAGGGCAGAACGTGCCTTCATACAACACTCGGGGGTCCCAGATTCCAAATTATGCAAGGCATACTGAAGTAAGAGATGGCCTTGGTTAAGCCCTGAGATCTCAGAACTTAGAGCAATGCAAATATCGAGCAACCTCATACTGTCGTCCAAATAGACATCGATCCAATTCTGATCCCAGCCAATGACTGGAAGATCGAGATCGGTGATGAGGGTCTTCATGTCAGTACGAGTCTCACAGAGGGATTCCATGGCTAATTTCATCCATGTCAGACTCAGAACATCACCCTGGTCTTCTGGAATAAGTTTTCTTAGCCTCTCTGCTAAGGTTTCCTCAAAACTGTTCAGTATAGAAATAAGCCTTGTAGACATCTGCAAGCCCTTTGGCAATATCCTCCGGAAAGGATTTCCCAAGGGGAAAAAGGGTCGGTGTGGATCCTGTGGACGGCTCATTTTCAATTTCCACTGCAAGATTACAACGAAAAACAATATGTTATCAGGAAAGACATCCAACATCAAGGAATTAACAGTGTAGGGAATCATTTCTTTTCACCAACCCTGTCCTCTTTTAGGAAACGGATAAGAGACTGTTATGGAGAATTTCTTCTGACAAACATGTAGTCAATTGTTTCAAAATAGAATTCCTGAATGAATTTTATCCGTGAACGCGCATGATGCTTACGGGTACAGATTTCTTTAATTATTATTGAGGAGGAACATGTATCTGGGAGAGAAAATAAGGAAGCATCTCATTTATCTGCAACATACAAGACATCCAGAACCACAACAACAACAACAACAAAAGAGATAACATTAATAACAGGAAAACAAAATCAGCGTTCGTCACCATCGTCTAAGTTCCATTCTTCTTCTAGTATAGACTCATAATTCCAACTTATCAGAGCATCTATTAGTTAATTTCTTTCGTTGACCATCAAATCCAGCCCGAAATATATCAAGGTAGCCACCAGATTCAAAACACCGAAAGAGGAGAAGGAATCAACCGACGGTAGACTTACCAAAGAAAGCCTCTAGATCTTCCGATTAGAAGAAGAAGAAGAAGAAGGAGAAGAAGAGAGCGGATCTGACGAAAAACCTCTCTCCCAAATCCCTCAAGGAGCACAAAACTAGACCGCCTATTCACCTCCTAATCCTAAGCTACCTGCTTTCCGATCCGAACCAACTAAAACACCTAAAGGGGGAGTAAAGCCAAAGAAAAGGTCCAGAAGGAATGAAAAATCATCAATCGATTTCTTACCTGAAACAGTACTCAGCAGCAGGATGGAGGTTTTCCGGGAAAATCACTTTCGTGCTAATAAGAGCTCCCACGCGTACACGAAACTTCCTTCCAGAAAAGAGAAATTCTTCCTCTGTGGAAGAAAGGAAGATTAATGGCTGGTTTGGTTGATTTCGTAATGGCTGGCGGAAGGGAATGCGAGGCTCACTGGGCTGTTAGGAACGGGGTCGTCACAGCGGACCACATGGAAGAAGATGAATGGCTGATGTTGAAATATTCCGGACGGAGTCTGATATTTTCAAATCAACGGCAAGCCGTGGGGAAGGCCGGCTACAGCAAAAATTAAATCCGAAGCTGGGATTTTTCCAGAGATCGCACATTTGATTTTTTTTTTTACAAAACTAGCACCCATTCGAAAAAAATTTGACATAAATAGCAGCATTTTTAATGAAACGCACCCTAAGATGCGTTTTATATGTAAATCGCACCTTAGGGGTGCGTTTCATGCCACGTCAGCACGCGAACCGCACTAGGAAGGTGCGGTGTGCTTTCTCTGCAGAACAATCTTCAAGACCGTTAGATGGAGGAGCGATCGGAAGGCGGACCGCGCGCCAGCAGAGCGATCCGCGCCATGGATCGGGGACCGCATCTGCAAGGAGCGGTCAGCGCCTCGTGACTCGCAAACCGCATCGGAAGGGAGCGGTTTCTGCAAGGGGAAAATTACCAGACCGCCCTTGAAGGGTGCGGTCTGATAAGTATAAATACCCCCTTCCCCTCTCATTTCTTCACACCACAACCCATTCTTCCTTCTCTCTCTAGAATTTATCTTTCTAAACCCTCCCCTCCCCTCCCAAATGCCTAGGAAATAGTGGTCTGTTGGTTGCGGCTAAGTCCTATCTGCCATCAGAAAACATTTCTTAGGTTTTTTCCTCAAAACCCGCCGAGCCGAATCTCTGTCCGAATTTTAGGTTTTTCCTAAAAACCCTCAGAGCCTAGCCAAATCTCTGTCCGAATTTCCCGAAAAAATGAGCGATTGGTGGCAAGGAGAGGGAGTTTATGTTGATGAATTTCTAGCGGTACGTACTCATTATTCTGGTTTAATCTTTGTTGTTGTTATAAGCTTTTTAATTAATCTATGTACTAACCTCGTTGTTATTTTCTCGTAGGTTGGGGACGACGTGGATATATACAACCAACGGTATTATCTCGAGCAAGGACCGTTGGATCCAACTGACTTGTATGACCAACCCAACCATTGGTCAAGGGATGTTTGGAACGATCTCCGGGTACATACAATTCTTCACCATTTGTCTTTCTTTTATTTTGCTAATGTATTTAGTGGAATATAAAATAATTTTATGTTGAATTTTTAATCGTGTTGGTTGTTTTCAATAATTTAATCGAATACATAGCGCCACTTACTTCGACTCTTTATAAAGAGATGCACGTCTAAGGAAATGGGGTTTTAAGAGATTATCATATCCTCCCATTCTCTGGGAAAATCAGGTATTAAGAGATCCTCAGATCCCCCCTTTTTCTGTCAAAAAGACTGCGTTTCTAAGAAGATGTATACCTCTTCTAAGAGTATAACGAGTGTTGCTCTGTATTCGATTAAATTATTTAAAACAACCAATACGATTAAATTATTTACCAAACAACCAATACAATTTATTTTTATGTGTACAAAATGAATTTTATTAATTTCAAACATTTGAATATGTATGTTTCTCTTTAAATTATTATTCATTTACAATGTTATTTATGTTAATTCATTTAGTATGTTTGTTTTACGATAATATGTATGTATCATTTTAAATTATTCTTCATTAAGAATGTTATTATGTTAATTAATTTAGAATTTTTTTTATGATAATATGTATGTATCTCTTTAAATTATTATTGATTTAGAATGTTATTATGTTAATTATATGAAATATATTTTTATGATAATAAAATTCGGCTTGAAGTTAAATAATTTAATTTAATTAATTTAGTTTTAAGAAAAAACCCTTACTAATATATAATAATTAACGTGTAAAGTTTCGCTAGGAGGCACAAACAATACTCCGCTACAGGGGTACGACCAATGTGCTCCCATTCCACCCAGCTATCTTGCCCTTTCTCAAAAGGGCACGGTTGGACCCGATTAGGCATTTTAACGGCATCAAAGTTGATCGCCAACTCATCACCGCATTAGTTGAGAGATGGAGAAAGTAAACCCATTGTTTCAACTTTAGAGAAGGAGAGGCCACCATCACGCTAAAGGATGTCGCCATCCTAACCCATCTGCTCATCGACGACAAACCAGTGTGCGCGAGTGATCATCCACACGAGGATCGTGACGGTATGCCCGGTTGGGTTCATTTCATCCACAGTGTTTTGGGAGTGAAAGTACCAGTCAAGGGGAGCGTTGATGCGACCGATCGCTTGCCACCAATGAGGAAACACCAAGTTTCAATTACTTGGTTGACGAAGTATTTTAGAGACCATTACGAGAGTCACCCCCTAACCGAGGAAAGTCCGGAGGATGAGAAGGAAAGATATGCTTGTGTCTATCTCATAGGCATGATCGGAGGAGTGTTCTTCTCCAAAAAATAAGCAATCTCCTTAGCTGTGGATGGCTTAGGATCATCCTCGGTAGTTGGGAGGAGATGGGCGAGTATAGATGGGCATCCGCTTGCCTAGCTAATATCTACCACAATTTGTGCAATGCGTCTCTAAAAGCTGTGAGGGAGGTCGGCGACGCAATGTTCGTCGTCCAATTTTGGGCTTGGGAGCATATGCCATGGATTGCGCCGGTCCAACGTCCCGACAGGGATTGGCCAATCGATCATCCCCTAAGAGGTGAAGCTTATGGTACAAGGTAAACTTCTCATACCCAATCATGTTTTTCGTAACATATTTTCCCTTGTGTTTTAGTTTATTGTAGTTTCATTATTGTCTTATTAATAAGGTGGCTCGGACACACAACATGCGACAAACTTGCCCAACACAAGTTGGACGAGTATGGGAGGAGGTTTGAGCGACTTTGGGAAGGAGAGGTAATTTCTATACTTTGATCCATTTATATCTTTCTTCCATGGACCACATGTATTTTTCCAATTTTGATAAACTTAAGTTACTCATTTCTTTCTTGTAGATCGTCTTCGATTCATACACGGAGAACATCGTTCATTGGCATCTCCAACAATTCCCCGATCATATCGGGCAATGGTGCACGAGGGTCCCTCTAATTTGTTTTGGGACCGTGGAGTGGCACTTGCCGGATCGATGCCTCCGTCAGTTTGGTCGGGAGCAGTGCATTCCGTTGGAGGTCCCCGATAGTCAAAGGGCCTTTCATGGCCGAGATGGTCGGCAAGGTACTCGCGATTGGCCCACGAAGTTGGCGAAATTCATCACGACGTGGGACAACCGACAAATGCAGGATATTGTCACTCCAACTCAAGTGGGTCGAATGGGGTATCATGACCCATACTTGGATCGATATAGGCAAACATCGGCTCGTTACATGACTCCGGAGGGTGCGATCGATGGTACATTTGTAAGTATATTCCGACTTGACAATTAAATTTATTACTTGCTTCCTAAATTTTTTTCTAACTTTTTTTTTGTGTGATTTAGGCTGATGGGATCGAGCGGATCAAAGATATGACCACCGGGAGAGTTGAGCTGGGCAATGAAGATGTGAGCTTCATAAGGAGGATGGCAAACAGTCTGCTTGGCTGCACCAGAGCTCAGGGTCGGGATCATCGTAGATATCCGCCCATGCCCGCACCCCCGCCACCTCCGTTACAAGTTGATGTCCCCGCGCCCCAACCACCATATGAGAGAAAGAAGAGCAAGAGGGTTCGGGAAAGGCCCAACGTGCCCGACGTAACGTCGTATTAGGAGTGGAAAGTGCCGCCCCCATTGGTTGTGACACATGGTGCCGGCCCGAGTTCCACCCAAACTTCCCGCCCGAGCTCCCCCCAAGGTGCCGCCCCAAGTTCCACCCAAGCTCCCCGCCCGAGTTCTGCCCAGGATCCCCGCCCGAGTTCATCCCAAGAGTACCGCCCCTCCTACCACAACGATCCCCACCCAAGCTCATACTACGATCCTCGCTCGACCTACCATCAATCCCCTTCGAGTCTCTTCCATCTGATCCAGCTCATGAAAGGCACCTTCATCAGCTCCATAATGGTAGTTGTGAAAACTACCACTGCCTGAGTGGAAGTTGTACTGGGGTTGGTTGGCATGGTCCGGTTGAACTTCTTCTTCATATGACGGGTAAGATTGATGATGACCTTCACCTTGCTCTTGGTACTGAAAATAGGAATGAGGATCATGGTAACTTTGGTAGTGATGATCTCCATATAATTCACCTCCACCATGGATACCAGATGTTTGATCGTCTGCAGAATGACCTCCAACACCTACGACCGGCTCGGTGTAAACGAACATCTTGGCTTTGGAAAGTTCGTTGGACCTCAAGAATTCCAGCATGGCATCTACCTCATCCTGAGTGGTTATGAGATATTCCTCGTGCGACAACGACCCGCCTTCTCTGTTTGGATATCGGTACACCATACGATAAAATCTTCTCGTGCCATCCATGCAAGTAACGTTAGTACACATTTGATAGATTTCTTCAAGCATCGGTCTGGTAGCGACCTTTATTTTCTGAAAATTGCCACCGACGTAGGTGACCCCCTTTCCGCTCTCGTCTGTGTAACCATTCCACCGTAACGCGGCGTGAACTTTTGGAATGCCATCTGTAAAAAAAAAAAACAGTAGTTCAACTAATATCATAAAAATCACAAATCACAATTCACAATAAAAAGTAATACAAAAAAAACTTACGAGTTAACGTTAACCACAAAAATACTAGAGAAATATGGAGCTACAATAGAAAATTGAAAAGGGAGAAGGAGAGGCGTGAAGAGAAGAAGATTTCCCGGCTGCCTTTTATAAGCAAAATCATCAATGAAAATCGCACCTTAGAGGTGCGTTTTTCATCTGCCATGCAGCCCCACGTCTGTGAATCTGCATGGCTGCTTGTCTGGTGTCGGAAAATAATTGCCACACAAACCGCACTTGGGGGGTCGGTTTGTGTGGCAAAACCGCACCTTGGGGATGCGGCTTTGTTTTGGAGAAACAAACCGCATCTCCAAGGTGCGGTTTTGCTAGGTCAGACCGCACCTCGGCCAAGCGATTTTTGTAGATCAGACCTGAAACCGCTTGGCCAAGATGCGGTTTTGGCCCAGGATTATGGACCGCACCTTAGAGGTGCGGTTTATATATAAAATGCACCAGGAGGGTGCGGGTTATATATAAAACACACCTCTAAGGTGCGCTCCATAAAAATGGTGCTATTTTTGTAATTTTTTTAAAAGGTGCCATTTCTGGAAAAATCCCGCAATAGATACGGAACAAGCAGCGGTCCCACTCACGGGAGCGGATATGGTAACAACACCATATTTGTTGTTATTGTAACAACACTAGTCTCCAATAATTAGAAAGTTAGGATTGTGATGACTTTTTATTAGCTTAGTTGACCTAGTGTAAAAACAAAACAGGGGTATAATTGTCATTATGAAAAATATGTTTAAATAATAATAAAAATAAAAAATAAAAAATATTTTTCTATTTTCTGCCCAAAATTTTGTTCGTCAGAATTCTGTCACTGGTCCCCGGTCACCGGAATATGCTTTTTGTCGCCGGAATATGTTTTTTGTCACCGGAATATGCTATTTTTCGCCGAAATATGCTTACTGGCGTCAGAATATGCTTACCGGCGTCGGAATCTAGTCATCAGGGACGGAATATGCCTATCGGCACCGGAATCCGGTCACTGACGGTCATCGGAGTTCGGTCAATGGTTTTCATTGACTGGTCAACGAACTTCGTTGAACGGTCAACGATCATCGGATGTTATGGTTAGCATTGTGAGATTTATGGTTTGGTTTCTCATATTTTATTATGCCTTTTGTGGTTTGCTTTATCGTGTTTCTAGTTTGCATTGAGAAGTTTCTGGTTTGCTTTCAAAAACTTTGTGATTTGCATTGTGAGGTTTCTGGTTTGTTTTAGTATATTTGTGGTCTGCATTAGGACGTTTATGGTTTGCTTTTTTGTGGTTTGATTTACTGTGTTTTTGGTTTGCATTAGGAGTTTTCTAGTGTTCTTTCGCAAATGTTGTGGTTTGCTTTGTGAGGTTTGTGGTTTAAATTTTAGGAGATTTGTGGTATGCATTAGGAGGTTTCTGGTTTGCATTAAGAAGTTTCTGGTGTGCTTTCGAAACTTTTGTAGTTTGCTTTGCGAGATTTCTGATTTGTTTTAATATATTTGTGGTCTGCATTAGGACATTTTTGGTTTGCTTTACCGTGTTTGTGGTTTGCATTAGGGGGTTTCTGGTGTGCTTTTCAAAGTATTTATGGTCTGCTTTTTCAGGTTTCTGATATGTTTTAGCGAATTTGTGGTTTGCATTTGGTGGTTTCCGGTATGTTTTTTGTGGGCTGCTTTATTGCGTTTTTGGTGTTAAAAATATTTGTGATTAGAATTACTAGACACCAATATAAATTACCTAGCTTCTTGTTGTTGGTGATTAGGTTAGACTAAATTACTTCAATATGGCCTCCTCCTATTTCATAACTCAACTGTTTGCTCCCCATTTCAAACACCCTTCCCTTGCCCAGAAACAAAGGTTTATTCATTCTCTGGTCTTCATTAGTAAAAGTTGTTATTACTTTATTCTACTCTGCTACATTTATTCTACTCTGCACCAATTACTTGAAGGCTGAAGCTCTGCCACATGTAATACTATGGGTTTATTTGGGAATCTGTTTTCATTAGTAGCAGGAAGAATCCAAGCCAACATCGCCTCCTGGATTAGGGGAAGAGCAGCAGGAAACTGCTAGCGAAGAGCATACAAGAGAATGAAAAAGTTGGCTTTTTAATCATCGATTTGGAGCAGATCCTGTGAACCGGCGAAACTAAGGAGGAGAAATCAAACACAGAAACCCAAATCAATTAAATGGTCAGCAAAACTCAGCAAGAGAACCCAAAAATCATAGAAAATCCAACCCTCGGTAGAGAAGAGACAAGTCTCCACCGCCACTGTTGGTGGTTGGATCTCTCCTCCAAACTTCCAGATCAGACTTCCGCAGGGGGTAAAGTGGGACGACCAGATCCTCCTTCTTCGTTTGTCTTCCTTCTGTCGCTGCATCGACCAGATCTTCACCGCATCGGGCTTTGCCCCATCTCCCGTTCCAGTATCCCCTCACACGGATGCTCCTCGTCCACCACTGCTGTCACGAATTTTCGAAGAGCGACCGTCGTCGTTGTTGTCGTCGGTATCCTCACCCGACTCTAGGCATACTGCACGCTCCATGATGTGGTGCCAGAGTTATTGGATTTGTGCCGGCGCCGGAAGAAGAAGGAACGCTGGGACGATTGAGATCCGTAGGGATTGGGATTTGGGAGCGGAGAAATCAGAAACGTGTATTTAGTTGTTTTTTGTTTTAATTTAACTTTTATTTTTAATGTATTTGATTAATTGACCCTTTTACCCTGATGTTATTATAACAACACTTAAGGTGTTGTTGTTATACTATCCGCACCCTCCACTCACTCTATTAGTTCGTACCAAGGTTGTCAACCCGCGGGTCGAGCCGGATCCTGTCTATTTAGTGGGTCAAGGGTTAATGGATCACCCGTTTTAGCCCGGATTAACTTGATTTAGTCCAAAAATATGAAATAGTCATTATATTTTACTTGTTTTGAATTTAACATAAAAAACAATCGTACTAACATCAAATGAGCTATTTTAACTCATTTTCAAGGCCGGATCCAGGTCAACCGGTAGGTCGATCCACGGGTTGACAACCTTATTTCGTACTTTCCCCTTAATATGTGGTCACCATCCTCTGTTCAATTAATTCAGGTAAATTGGACAAGGTTTAGAAAGTAGTTTGGGAGAAGAGCCTCCCTCTAGGCTCCATTGCTTCCTCTAAAGTTTAGAAGCTAAGGAGGGTTGCGATTTGGGGTCCTTGGTGTCTTGTTTTTTGTGCTAGGAGATGAAAATGCTTTCAGGTGTTGGGATTATTTCCACTACTTACTCCACTTTCTTATGAGCTATGTATTATTTCCATCCACGGTAGTTGAACAGAGATATGATGTAGCTTAATATTACTTCTTAGGCTTTAAGCTTTTAATTGTTGGGGATATGGAATTCCCTAGCCTTGTTTCATTGAGAGGCTTTCTTGCTGGAGGTGGCTGAATTTGGTCTGTGATGAACTCCTATTCAGGTTCCTAAGTTGTCTAACTCGTCAAACATCAAATAAGATTTCCTAATTTGTGTAGCAAACCATATGATACAATCATGCTACTTTCTTGAAGTTGTTGATCGTGTGATTGCAAGGTGAGTTCGAGGGCTGCAAGACTGAAGAGGATCAGAATGGCTTTAATGATGATCAAGTTCGAGAAGACACTGCTGGCTGGGCATGATGCATTTACTAGATAGGTCATATGTTGGTAAGTTTTCCAGTTCTAATGTGTATGAACCATTCAATTCTGCTTCAATATATAATATTGATTGGTTAATTAACTGACAGCAAATGTGCACGTTGTTTCCACTTCCATTGTCTAGTTTATATGGTTTATTTATATACATGAAGGAAAAGGGTATAAAGGATGGTAGTCGAGCTAACTAGGATGAGTTCTGGAAACCTTAACTAGTAAGTTTAGCTTAACTTCCCTACAGGTTATGCATGTGCAAACGCCAGCCATTAGTCGAAATCACCAAGCAATTAGTTTTCATGAAACAGGCCTGCAGCTTTGTGTATACTACTGGCCATAGTAATGTTACTAGCTAGAATGGAATTGGTAGTGAAAATGGCATCCTAGCTACCCGACTGAAGACGCATGCTGTACATAAGAAGCTTATGCAAACCCCTGAAAGGTTTGCAGAAAACTGCCGAAATAAACACTGCTAATGCAAACCAACTGAAGACGCATCACACCTCGGGAAGAAAGAGCTTTGCTGTAGTGTCTGATAAAATTGTATGATAACTCCATTGGAAAAATCCCATAATACACTAACTATTAAAAAAAATTCTCAAAATACGTTAGTTATAAAAATAATTCCCAAACTACGTATGTTTGTATATCACCGCAATAGACCATGACAGTGAAGGCAATCATCCCAATAGGCTAAACAGTGAAAATATCACCGTTTTCGTCTAAAACGGTGAAGCTATCACCGGAGTGGGCTAAAACAGTGAACATATCACTGCGGGAGATGAAGACAGTGAACATATTCACCGCGACGGCCTATTACGGTGAACACATCACCGCTTTAGTTAAGAACGGTGAATTTTTACCACGTTTTCCAACCCGGTAGGTGGAAAAGTAGGACACAACGACCTAGCATTCACCGCAATAGATGCTTCACTGCAGTGAACTCTTGCGGTGATAGTTCGCTTATAAATTACTGCCCCCCACGTAGCTGCCTCTAAAAACTGCCCCATTCCACTCAAATTTTCACAGAATCTCCTCCTTCTCTGCCAGCTTCCAGCAGTCTGCGGATATAGAAACTCAAAATTTTGAGGTATGATATAATTTTGTACTGTTTATATAATGATGTTTTAATAATTATATGTTTATATTTAATGATTGCGGTTAGTGACAAATATGTTATGTTAGAAATATTTTGATTAATTATGGTATGATTGATGTTAGTTAGATTAATTTAGATGAATTTGTTTAGTCTACTCATGTTATTCTAATGCTAATTATGGTCCATGGTTCGATTAGTTAGTTGCGGTTGTTTATTGTTTTGGATGATATTATTTTCGTAGCCCTAAAAATATGTTGTTGGATATTGTTTGTGTAGACCCAAATACTAATTATATTATACTAATCTTATTCGAGTTAAGCTAATAGTTACTTATTATAAATTGCAGACATGAGTTAATTTAAGAAGTTTCGGCTTATTATTCCGTGGAATGGTCGAGTGACAAACTCTGACATTGGGATCGATTATGAAGATGGTGAATCCACTATGCTGAAAATTGAGTCGAGATTTACGTGACAAGAACTCCGTGACATTTGTGCATACAAGATTTGTTTGGGCTGACAGACGAGAGTTGGTAAAATTACTTACCGGTATCCAAACATGAGTGCTGGTGGAGTTATTTACGAAGAAGTTGTCATAAATGATGATGATGTGGTTACCATGATGATACAGTTCCTATCTGACAATGGATGCTGCTTGTAGAGGTGTATGTCAAGACCGAGGCGGTCGGTGAAACTCATTCTCACCAGTATTCTTATGATGATGGTTTTGCAGGAGGGTATGATTGGTGTGGTAGTTCAAGCAACTACGGAGGTGGAGGTAGTTCTGCAGGAGGTGTGGCATGGGAAGAATACCCGCAACATGCTGACCTTGACCCATCGGTACAGCCTGACGACGTTCGATGGCCTGCTTGGGGGCCAGAGTGAGCAGACATTGAGAACACCCTTCGATCTGGGCGTACTTCGCATGAGCGAGAAGAGGATGTTGGTGATGCAGGTCACGATGATCCTCCTGGGCCGATCTATCCATTCGCCTCAAGCGACGAGGAAAGTGAGGAAGATTTGAGATCATTCAGCGAGTAGTAAGATACGGACTATACGGAGGACGACGAGGTGGAGTTCCGTGAGCCACCAACACCATACTACATAGAGGTTCCACCTCAATTTTCATATAGTCAGAACGTTGCCCCTGACTTTCTCCCTATGCCAGTGTATAATCTGTTATAAACGCGCTGCTACGGATCGAGAAATCAAGAATACGAAAGCGAGAATAAAAAAATACAGACACTATTTACGTGGTTCACTAACACGATGTGTGTTAGCTAGTCCACAGGCAAGAGAGAGCCAGTTTCACTATATCGAGGAGATTACAGATTACAGAGGAGTATGAGAAGTATTTATAGTACTTCTCCAAGTGGGTCTAAACCTAATCCAATCTGGCAAAGGAAACGGTTACAGACCAGGCCCAGAACCCGAACCCAAATAACTACCAGTTGTAGCGGCTGATAGTCTGATTCAAGTCACATCAACAAATCTCCACCTTGACTTGAATCCTCTTCCTCTGAAATCTCTGATGAACTCTGCTCCTTCTCTCTCTCTCTCTCTCCCTCCATCTGTAAAACCCAACCCTGTATTCAAGTTCCTAATATTACCCTTGACCAATTTAGGCTTGGTTTATCTACGATCTTTATATGAGTGCATAGAAAAATAAATTTGTATTTTAAACCGGTGTTGTCTTAAGCCTTAGCTTGCAAAAACTTTACTTGTTCCCTAACTTTTAATTGAAAGATTTGTGGAGAGTTCAGTTCCGCCGCCCACCTCTTAGCCATTCGGCTGACAGTACTCATCCCTCTCGTTCTACCGATGTCATTCTAGTCCTGTGAGGGAAAAAATATTGACGGGGGTGAGACGTCACTCAATGAGTAAATAATAACCTAATATAAATATTAATACGAAAATGATATCAAGCTATGCTGTGACTCGGAGTGTCTTCCGTCAATTAAATTCGGTGCATATTCAATAACTTGATAACTTTACTTATGTCTCACCTATGTAGGTTTATACGGAATTTCTTCCCCCATCCATTCGATCGTTCACATATACGTTATAGTTATACATGATTCATCTAGGATTTCACCTTTACTTTACCCTACCTGGTGTTGCAAGTAGTTCATATTTATTCTTATACACCATACAGAATTTTCATCATTTCATCATATCTTTACACTTCTACCAGCACGCTTCATGAGAGGTATTGTAGACTCATAACATTATACATGTCAACATCTCATGGTAGTAGCATAATCAAATGAACATATCATCACTACTTATAAAATAGTTTCCTGATTAATCATTGTACCACTCGTCATAGGAGGTTATCACAAAATATACCTCATCTTGTCACTTGAGATCAAATATAAAACACCTCGACATTCACATATTTCATATCTCGTGTAGGGGGTTCACCTTCTATATATCAAATATGGCAAATACTAAGATTGCCATCTCAATCACATATCACACAAATATGCCAAATACTAAGATTGACATTTAAGTACTAATGTTGCATCCAAAATCACCCATGAATCAGTATCCAATCACACACATGCATACATATAGTTAGCTGGATTCAATAGATTTTATTCTTTAATTTGCCAAGTCATGCACTCCCCGGGATCTCGTGAACTCGTAATCTTGTAGGCACAAAGTGCCAGATCTCATAAACTCGTGGGCACAGAGTGCCATATCTCATGAACTCGTAAGCTCGTGGGGCACAAGGTGCAATATCTCATAAACTCGTAGCCAGTCCAGGCATTACTCCTTAAAAGGAGTTCTCGTATAACTCTTTTATCTCTTAGGCTTGAAGCCTCTTTTCACTTATAATGAGTGCATGACAGGGCGCCATTACGTTTACTTTAGGTGATCATGCAATTCTTATAGTTAGTCACAACTAAACATAACACTTGTGTGACCCAAGGGCCAATTCATATCACATTCACTTGCATGACTCATAGGCCATTTTGTCTCATCTCGTATAATTGACAAAAGGCAACCTTTTTTGCCATTCTTTTCACTTGACCGCCTCAAATGACATTTCACATATCATATACTCATCACATAATATCGTTTAGCACACACATAACAACATGTATTATGACCTTCTGGTCATACCATCATACAGATATTTCATCATATCCTCACATTATAATATAATTACCATGCTACGGTAACCTCATCCAATCATTGGATAATTAAATCATTTCATTCAATCATATAACCATACCACATATCGATACTCAGTCACAATTAGTTTAAAGCTTACCAAACCATCATACACATTGTACTCAGACCGTTTCATGACCCGAAATACCATAATCATATTAAGATAAACATTAGGTGTAACACCCAAACCTATACGTTTTGCCTAATCATATTGTTCATACAATTGCAGCGGAATTAAACTTGGGTGTTACATTAAATATCAAAATTTACCCAAATAAAATTTCGACATGAATTACTCGCGTAATGGGCTAACAGTTCTTGCCACTTAACCTGCAAAATAATTCATCACAAACATATATACTCACAACCATATGCATTGGCTTTTCTTAGCCATAGTCACACTTTTCATACTTCCTAACTGCATACCATACTTATACATACCATAATCGTCACAACTTACACAGTTACACAACATATACACATATCATTAACTTTCCTCACCTCTGGATATCTCACACTACATTCGAAGCTAGTATGCACATGAAAATGTTCTCAAAACATTTTTACAAAAAGGTGTGGATCACTGGCCAAAATCCCAAGTAGTAGTCCAAGCACAGAATAGTTGAAGACCATACCTCATCCTGGCTTCAACTCTAGCTCCTCTCCCACCTAACACTTATCTACTGCTGCTGCTGATGATCTGCTTACACATAGCATAAGCAGAGAAGAAGAATAAAAGAGGGTCAGCTCATAGCTGAGTGAGATAACCATAGCATCGTGAGTTCATAACAGAGCATACCCCTATCATACATCTAACAATCAAGCCAAAACACTAGGATCGGACCTCAGCCATCGTCATATCCCAATAGGCAAAAGACTCAACCACCTTGACTTATGCATATGCATCTTATCATGTTTTACTTATAGGCGCCTGGCTACTCCCATGCTAATAACTCTCCCGGGAAACATACCCCACATCCCGTCGGATGTAGTCATACATACCCCAACATCCCGTCGGATGTGGTCATACATACCCCACACCACTATGGGTGTAGTCATACCCCGACACCGCTCTGGGTGTGGTCATATCTCATAAGAATTCTTCAGTCACCACCACATGAGAGGTGTGACTATCATACATATCATAATAGAGTAATAGCATAGGGAGCCCTAATTACTATGTAGTTGACCGTGAGACCAAAGTACTCTTACTTGATATCCTTATACATAATCCATATCTCATCTTGCTTAATCATAATTCATTACTTGGACATGTTCTTGACCTAGCCACAATTGGCTCAACATAACCAGGAGTCGTATAATTGCACTTCCTCGGGATAAACCCTCGTGCAAGTCATCCTCCTTAAAACATCATAATATCACTAGGGAATATATATTTTCCCCCATGTGCATCCAAATACAACAATCATGAAAAATCATCCCCAATCACCTTTTCGAACCATCATAAGGCATATCAACAGTCAAGCCCACAATTTGCAACATATACACAATCATCAGCATAAACAAGGTTCATATCGATTAGGGCAAGTCAATAATATCATACAGCAATCCAGGGTTCAACATATAGCACAAAAGTTCATACACCCCTAATCATGCCATTCTAGTTCACCTAGATCAATTCTAAGCATCAATATAATTATCGTGATACGACAAACCCGGTATGCCGTGCTAATCCCTCACAAGTTCTGGTCGTTCAAACACCGGTTCTAGCCTTCCCGTACTAAAGCGTCAATTTCACGAACGAACCCCGAATAAAATCCGAGACCGTCCTAATATCCCCTGCAGTATCCCCGTCAATATTAGTTCTAGGCTCCGGGTCAAATTCTTGATAAAAACACATCAAACCCTGGCCGGAGCTAAATTCAGCGGTTCGGACCCCGCCTAAATAATAGCCGAAATTCAGGGATTAGAACTAGAGGATTGATTACCTCGCTGCAGTAAGCTCGTATATGAAATTTAGGCTCAATCCGGCTTCCGGATACTCCGAAACCCTAATTTGGCAGATCGGGAATTCAAGAAATTCCTGAACCAAAAACTCGTTTTAAAGCTCTAAATCGATAAATCACGATGTATAGATGAATTAGGCATTACTTACGGGATTTTTGGATCACTAGGGCTCAAGAATTTGAGCTTTGAAATTTTGGGTCGAGAGCTCCGCGTGTGCTCTGTTTCTCTCGTTTACTCTCGTTTCAGAAATTGTGAAAGTGATGATGGAGATGAGAATTAATGGATCGGGGGGAATTATATATATGACCGCTTACTAATATATATATATATATATATATATATAATTAATACGTATACTTATCCGATCGATCGATAATCCGATTTTCGCCGAAATAGTGTCGAAATGCTCGATTTTAAATCGCGAACTTTCTAGCGATCGAAATATGGGTTTTGCCGTAACGGGATGTTACATTAGGTTAGAATTTACTCACCCATTATCCTGATTCCACTCGATCACTCAGCTTTGACAACTCTTGCTCCTACGTACCCTTCACATAAACGGGTACAATTAAGCATCCCCTGGAAATACATATAGTATTTAAAAGTATTCCATATCATTAATTAGTTAGTTACCCTTTCATTGACACCAATATATATGCATGTATATTTAACTTCTCTTTAATTATTTGCTAGGGAATGCATACTTATCATTTTTTTATGTACTTACCTTGCCAAGTCCCTTTTTCCCATTTACGTACTTAGTAAGGGGAGTAGTTATTATCATGAGCTTCTCACTTAAGCAAACTTTGAGATATATATGTAAATAATTCTCCTATTTTTATTTCTCATGACTACTTGATTAGTATGATTTATTATTTTGGCATGCGTATAACTATAATTAATTAAGTATGCTTAAGATTATCCATATACATTAACTTTCTAATACTCTGCCACACTATTGTCGATATTGTAACCCTCTCTGATGTAGATAAAATCTTACTTTACTGGGTAGCAACTATCGTGCATGCAAATCATACAATCAAGAAAGAAAAGGTGATTTAGGGTTAAATGATAATAGAAGGAACTAGTAGTAACCTCA